TCCGTATGGGAGGAGGTGACCTTTGAAACTAATTGGGCATGCAAAGGACCTAAGCAAAAAAGCTTCATCTGGGCTAAATAATGCAGCGAAGGTTTGACACCAGCTCAGAGGGAAATTGAATTAATATACAGTGACAGCATCTCAATGAGTTAATCAAGATAATTGCTGTATTCTTGATTTAAACAAATACATTAATAAGAATTCCCAGACTCTGGAGCAGACGTATAGCAACTGCTTAGAAACTTTATGAAAGCTGGTAGCAATTTTATCAGGTCGAGTGAGAAAGCAGCAACAACAAAGAAGCAAGAAGTCACATACCACACTTTGTCTTTGACTTGAGGAGTGGAACAACAAGAAGCTGTTCCCCTGGCAGAGTTTCCAGATCAGCTTCCTTTGCTGCTGATTATCACTGTCACAAGTTCAATGGGAAAAGCAAGTCTTTAATCCAGTTACTGGACAAGCTGAGCTGCATTGCATTAATTGACAGCAAACGTCAAGCACTCTGAGGAGGCAGAGAAAGTCTCTATAATGCTAAAACCCTCAAAGAAGTCCTAGATAGGCCTTTGGGGATAGGCTAATTACTGCAGGGAGCAAAGTTTCACTCTCAAGGCAAGGGAAACTGCACACCATTATACACTGAACCTTACTCAGCACTCAACCCAATAAAGCAGGATTGTTACAGCAGGCTTCGGTGTGGGATGTGTGAAAGAAGAGCTGGAAGTGCTGTGAGCAAGTCTGCTGCTGCCTGAAGACAGCATGTGTCTCCTTCTACTACAGAAATGAAGGGACAATGGGCCACTCCAGCCTGAACCCTTGGAGGACCTGGATTTTCTGGTGTGCCCTGGGGATAGACCTCTAGTATCACTACATCCCACCTCCTTCTCTCCTCTCCAGAATCACAGCAACATTCCCGTATGTCACAGCTCTTTGCAGCCTTATGATAAAGGCAGAGAACAACTCAGGTTGCTTGAGCAACCTGCTCTAGTGGAAGGTGTCCCTGCCCATGGCAGAGGGTTGGAGCTGGAGGAGCTTTAAGGTCCCTCCAACCCAAACCAGTCTGTGATTCTATGATTCTATTAAATACCCTGGTAAGAGCAACAACTGAAGGGGAACCAGAGATGCTGTATGTGTACACATGTAGTGTGGTCACTCCTGCTCTTCCATGTTGGTATCTGGTTTATGGTACTCAGTGGACAGTCAGGTAAAGGTAAACCTTAGAAAGACATTCTCCACGGGGCCACTAGTGAAATGTAACCTTGCCAGCCGAATTTACCTTTACTCTCAAGTTTTTAAACAGTGGTGCCCAGCTTGCCCTGCCCATAAATAACTATTATGTGCTGTGAAAAACGAAGTTTCTCCTCAGAGTCAGACTTGATGTCTTTATTCCTTGGCCACGATCAAAACAGAAATAGAAGCTTCACTTTCCCCCTCAGCCAGGACTGAAAACTCTGCAGAGAGCACTTACCAGCTGCTTGTCATCACAGGCTTTATCTAAATCACTTAAACTTACAGTAGATTTCCTGATGTTCTGACACAAACCAATAAGCTAAAGGTATTGAATATTGATTTGGTTTACAGCATCTTCTTCAGTTTCTTGGATACCAAGAACTTAGATTTCATCCTGCCATGCCTGCACTTACCCCTGCAGTTCGTGTTCGACTCATGCAAATCTTCCGTCTGGTAGAGAATATAACTTAAGAAAGACCTCTAGAGTCATGATCTAAGATACAAAGATACAGTAGTGGTTGGTCACTCCAACAGTTAAGCAATCTCAGCCTTAAGTATCCTGCCTTCCTGGCAACTGGAATGTCTCCAGCTTTGCTTTACAGCCCCTTTCCCTCCTCAAGCCTTTCTGTGCTAGACTGAGAGTCTCTCTGTAGGTGATAGTTTTGTGCTGACATGCTGTGATGTAGACACTTCCCAGTCTTCTTCATCCTAAGATAAATAGATCAAGTTCTCCAGCACAGAGCACTTTCTCCCCACCAATGCATTTTGGTAGTGTTTTTCTGCACCAGCATTGAATTTTCACTGTCCTTTATAAACTGCAAACGTCAGAACTGACAGTATTAGTCTCATTGATGCTCCACAGGTTAAAAATCAGCTTCATACTACCCACTACAAGAAAAGTGGGATGAGTGTTCATTTTATTTGTCCATCCAAGCAACAAGTTTGACAGTTTTGCCATGGAATTATGCTGAGGATCACACTGAGTCAGTTGATGCTTTGCTCACTACCTCTAGAATCAATGCTTAGCCCGGTTCTTTAGATGTGGCCTGTTACACGTGTACCCTGGTATTAGAGGGTGTAGGAACATATTTAGTTTAAATGAAACCTACTTTATCAAGCAATATAAGTAAGTATCTCACCTTCATTTACTGATCTTTGCATTTTAATGATCTGATTTTACACTTTTTTCCCACATTACCTATGCATAACCAGGGTACAATCAATCCCTCCTGATTCACCCGAAACAATCCCATTGAATCATAGAATCCTAGAATGGTTTGGGTTGGAACAGACCTTAAAGCTCAACCAATTCCCCCCCCCTGCCATGGGCAGGGACCCCTCCCGGTAGATCAGGTTGCTCCAAGCCCCTGTGTCCAACCTGGCCTGGATGATTCCCTATTGCTGGTTACATTTGAGAGCAATCACAGAGCAAGTTCTTGAGCCATGCGATGTGTCCTTTTAACAGCTGAGAAGAGCAGACTGATCTGCTTTCCAAGTCCCTAGTGGACAGGTTAGAATAGGGCAGGATAGGCTAGGCTAGGCTAGGCTAGGCTGAATAGTGATAGTCTCTAATTCAAGCAAGGAAGACTTAGACTGAGCAGATAAAAAAGCTTTCTAGCAATAACAGTATAGTACATAAATACATTGCTATCACTAGTAATATTTATCAGTAACTTAGATGACTTTGACAGGATCCATTTGACCAAATCTTAGACATCTGCAGTATAAATATCTGTATCTGAGTTAACGATTCTGGACTACCTTTACAGAGAGAAACCTTCAGAATCCAACTCAACTCATCTCCTGACATAACTCATAAGAAACTCACCTTGAAAGTGCCTGCTTCTCTATTGCCTATAAGAGGAGGCTGAGGTAACTAATTCAGATACAGACTTTTACCCTGTAGTTCTATAAAGTTGCATTAGAATCTGTCAGGAACATTTAAATAGAGATAACTGAGCAGAGGTTTGGATGAGGTATCTCTGAAGACACATTCCCAGTTCTGTTTTCAGTGATGCTGTGCTATCATCTAGTGCTCACTTGCTCTAGTCACGATTTCCACAGCCCAACTACTGGAGAATACTGTCTTCCATTTAGTTCTAAAAAGCTTTCTTATGACTCTTCTGAAGTGCATAAAAGGACCAGAATGATGACTTTCACAAATGCTCTATTTTGTTGGATAGCAAGAAATAACAGATCACTGTTGCAAATATATCCACAGAATAAGTTGGATTTTAGCTTCTGTCTTGTTTTATCTCCTTTATATTTTCAGTCACACTTTTAAATAAAAGATTATGTTTGAGGTATAAATCTGACCATTATTAGCTGTAATGTTTAGTTTGCTTCACTGTCCATGGCTACATCTGTTTTCAAGCTATTCAACCCAAGGAACTATTGGGTTCTTTGCAAAAAGAAAATACCTCCTTAATTCAGCACAATGGTCCTAACAATATAGCAGGCTTCCACTCCTATAGAGAAAAACACACTATCTTTCCTCCCTAAAGCCTCCCTCAAGCAAATTCAGTGTGAGAGATGGAAGGGTATTAACTTTGATTCACTGAGGAATATTGCTATAGTAATTGCAAGCAGAACATTGATGGAATGCAAATAACCTTTCAAAAGATTCATCACAGAGTTTCCATCAGCTCTTTTTGAGGCAGGAGCACTAATGGTGAGTATTAAGCAAAGATATTTGAAACTGGGCCTGGAACATTTTAAAGAAGGACCCAAAGCAAGTGCATGTCTAACACAGGAATATGTGGGTTTAGGCAGCTTTACTTCCCTCGGTCTCTTTATTTGATAGCTTTTTCCTCTGTAATCTTGGGAACTGTCTATTCTAGCCAAATTGGACTCTTACAGTGGGTCTATTATTATGGTAGCTGAACGCTTCCATGTAACCACTCAAACCATATGGGAAATTATGCACTAAAAGGAGTGTTTCAAAGAGGTTAGACTTGAAAATATAAATGAAACTGAGGAATAGGGATGTAAAAGGCTTCTCAACAGCAGGATGAATTTGCAGACCCTCCTTCTAGGTGCCCTTCATTTGGTTATCTATCTTTTTCCAATTTGAATCAGAAATGTGTTGTCTTCATGGTAGTTATAAGCAGGGATTTGCTAACAGTAATACAGAAAAGTACAACTCCTCAAGCCACTGGCATCTCTGGGTTTTCAATGCATCCTGTCTTCTCTCTGCTCAAAAACCTCTTTGGGTCAGGAATGGTCTTGAACAGTTCTGAGACTATTTTTAAAGCTTAGTGAGGCCAGTGACAACAATAGAGACCAAGCAGCCCATTAATTACAGACTTGTCGTCTGAGCAAGCTGTCATTAGTCATTGCCAGTTGTCATTCTACATCAGCCCTTTCCAAGAAGCTCAAAGAGGACACTGCAGCTTGGGAAGGAGGTGAAAAGCTGCGAAAAAGAGGATCCGATGGAACTTTCATACTTCCAAAGCTTTCAAAGCCAAGAAAAATTCTCTGACATGCAACCTAAATACCCAGTCCTGACTGCGTGTAAGGAGAAGCAGGTGTCCAAATGACTTAGCTGATTTAAAACTCAGCAGAAACTCTGACTCTTGACTTGATAGAGGGAGGTTATTCAAATTCTAATGCACTTATTTCCAGTATTTAGTGTTTGTGTGAGAACCAATATTCTCTGTTCTGGCCATTTTATTTGGACTATAATTCTGTCCAGGGAATTAAATTCTATCAACCCTTCATGGTTCAGAGAGCACAGAATGAAGTCAGCAGCACAATATTCATAATGTACTTACTCATAAAATGTTGTCCAACCATTTTCATTGCTTTTAGTGGCAAGGAGACCAGAGTTGCCGTGGTAAGTCATCATGGCCACTTCATGCCCCTGTGTTGTTACACTCTTGAGTGCACTGTTGGTACCAATTGTCACCCAGTAGACTTGGCCATCAGGCACCACCAGCCAGAGGGGCATCCCTGTGGAATCTCTTCGGATATTGACCAAGTTGCCATTATTGTCAGTGATCAGGGTTATATCTCCATCTCCAGAGTAAGTAAAATTGTAAAGGTAATCTCCAGTGGTAAGGCTCTGAGTATAAAGGTGCTTCCCACTGGTGTCAAACAAGTAGAGTTCCTGGTCTATGGGTGAGGATAACTCATATAGGTTTTGTGTGTTGAGGAATGGTTTGTTCTTCCGAATAAAGCGGATTCGGATATTCCCAAGATCAGCAACATACAGCTCCCCATCCGCACACACCGCAAGGGAGGATGGCGCATTGAGTTTGGCATCCTTGGCATAGCCATCATCCCCTGAGAAGCAGTCACAGTTAGCATCGTTCTTGCAGTCACAGCTGCTTGGTGCACCAGCAACGAGGGATATCTCACCATTGGTGGTGACCTGCCTGATGCGGTTGATCTTCTTCTCATCAGTCTCAGCAATATACAGGACCCCGTTGTGTGAGACAGCCAGGGCGGTGGCAGACTCCAGCGTGGCATGGATTGCCACCTTGCTAAGGAGGAAGTGATCCATGCCTGGCACTTGGCAGTGCATGGGCCTCCCTGCCACGATGCGCACTTGGTGGTTCTCAGATATCTGTAACACAACGTTATTGTCCAGGACGTAGAGTGAGTTATCCATTGGATTGACTGCCAGATCCGTGGGCCATTCCAGACGAACCTTAATGGTAGAACAGCACAAGGAAATTATTATAGCAAGACCCTTTTTTATGGCATAATTGTTTCAAACCAATCACAATGAGGATGTATAAATCAATCGCAATGAGGATATTCCAACATAGATTAAAGAAAAGAAAGGGTAAAAGAAAATGTAGCTGCTTGATATGCTGGCCACAGGCGACACAACCCTGAGTGAAGGGGCTTAGCTACCACTCATGTGTAGTAGATACATCACTCCACATTGCAGCAGTGGTAGGAGCAGGGTGATGGACAGAGATAGATGCACCTCAGCTCTTTCTTCACCTTGGTATGAGGTATCAGGGGCTGTGGGAAGGGGCATCAGTGCCCAGGGAATGCAGGAGTAAACAAAAAGATCTGAAGACTCATAAAATCACAGAATGGTTTGTGTTGGAAGGGACCTTAAAGCTCATCCAGGTCCACCCCATGCCACACCTTCCACTAGAGCAGGTTGCTCCAAGCCCCTGTGTCCAACCTGGCCTTGAACACTGCCAGGGATGGGGCAGCCACAGCTTCTCTGGGCACCCTGTGCCAGCGCCTCAGCACCCTCACAGGGAAGAGCTTCTGCCTCAGAGCTCATCTCAATCTCCCCTCTGGCAGGTTCAAGCCGTTCCCCTTGTCCTGTCCCTACAGGCCCTTGTCCAAAGCCCCTCTCCAGGTTTCTTGTAGTTTCCTTAGGCACTGGGAGCTGCTCTAAGGTCTCCCTGAAGCCTTCTCTACTCCAGAAGGGGGATTCAAGAGGATTTCCCCTTTTCAAATAATCCTGTGCTTTTTAAATTGGTGGAGCCTGGACCTGGTAGCAGAGAGCCAGGACTGGGAATTTTGTTGTGTGAAGTGCTATGAAATCAATCAAACAAAAGAGTGATCCCTTTACTAAAGGATTTTCCAGACAAGTGGCCAAGCTCCTCTGGGTAAATGACAAGAAGGGATAGACACAAAAGTGGCAGCTGTGTCAGCATGTGTGTGTGTCTAAGTTATAACCACAGATTTTCTGCTTGATGCTGCAAAAATGCAAAATAGCAACTCACAAGAAATGCAGGCAATTTCAATTCAGGGAATAAAATACTTGTATCTTCAGAGTGGTTTTCACTTTGCTTTTTTAGCATAGTGGAAGAATGGGTTCAAGCAATAGTGACACATCACAGTTCTGTTGCCCTACGAAGTTGTGAATGCTCCATCCCTGGCAGTATTCAAGACCAGGTTGGACAGAGTCTTGGGTGACATGCTCTAGTGTGAGGTGTCCCTGCCCACGGCAGGGGGTTGGAACTGGATGATCTTAAAGTCCTTTCCAACCCAAACCATTCTATCATTCTACACTGATAATCCATATACCCAAACAAACTGAAGAAGTGACTGGTAACACCATGAGGGAGTGAGCACTAGAAGGTCTCTAGCTGTACTTCTGCAGTACACTGTCTTTTCAAGTGAATCTACTCTTTTAGTTGCCAAACCTAAGAAACATTTACCACCAGAATCAGGGCAACTTAATTATTTTAAGAAATATATGTAAATTGTACATTTCAAAAGTTGTTTTATTTTATTTCAGGTTTACATAGGGAAAAGAGAGTCAACATTGTGCTGAAGGCAACTAACCAATGTTTAAATGTTTTCCTAATGGTGCATCTTCCCCTTGGTAGAGGTATGAAAAGTGATTGAAAAAGAACTGCCTGCACTCGTGTGGTTTTAGTCTGTACCCAACAGCATAGAATACAACCATAGAACAGTTTGGGTTGGAAGGGATCTTCAAAGCTTATCTAGTCCAACCCCCTGCAATGAGCCGGGGCATCTTCAATTTGATAAGGTTGCCCAGAACCACATCCAGCCTTGAACACTGCCAGGGATGGGGCATCCACCACCTCTCTGTGCCACCTGAGCCAGATTTTTACCACCCTCACTGTAAAGAATTTCTTCCTCACATCCAGCCTGAATCTCCCCTCTTTTAGTCTAAAACCATTCCATGATGCGCTCTGGGATCTCAGCACACTCAGCAAGGATGTGCAGCCCCAGGATCTCCCTGTTTCTTTGTTTCAAACCTTCCTCTCCCACCATCCATCTTAGTTGCTGTTTCTCATTTGTTTGAGGTGAGTAAGTTGGGGGGAGGGGGTCTATTTTGCATCTATAAATATTATATTTGCAACCTTATTTGAAAGACGAGATGCCAGCAGGCTCAAGTCCAGCAACCATCTCTCACCGTGATTTTACTTAAAACCAAGAACAAGAAGAGACCAGAGGAACACAGGAGAATCCTGTTTTTAAAGCCTGGAGTTGAACATCTCTGCTACAGCTGTGTTTTACTTTTAATGCTTTTATTGATGTCTGAATCCTTTTCAATATTTTATTTTATTTCATTTTATTTTATTTTATTTTTGAGCATCAGACACAAGGTATTTAGTTCATTAAGCCTTCTAATATCTGAGCTTCTGAAGCTTATTTTCATGGCTAAGCAGCTGTTGAGCTCTTTCTACTCTAGTTGTCTGCTTGCAAAATCTCCCTTTTCTCAGCTCCTGGCCTATTTTAACCCTTCCTGTAGTCAGACATTATAGCCTGTGGTTTTCTCTTTAATAATGCATGCCTTCATCCCTTCCAGTGGTCTTTAAGCTCCGCAGCCTTGAGTTAGCATCAAGAGCAGAGTTTATTCTGAACTGACAAGGGAATCTTCAATTTCTTAAAGACCATCCCTTGTCAACATTGGCAGCTAAATATTTCATGTCCTCATGTCCCAGGGAGCCTCGTCAACCTGCCAGAAAAGACCCTTCTAGTCACTGTAAATGATTAAAAGCTATTTCTCAAGCTGCTTTTTGGTTTGGGTTTTATTTTGCCTGGTTTGGGTTTTGGTTTGTTTTTCTTTTTAAGTTAAACCTGTCTTTGGTGCATTTGTCCAGAAAACCAGTGGTTAATTTGCCCATCTCAGTAGAGGTTAATCTAAAATTGGCTCCTGTCATTTTATGAAGGGAAAGAAAGTTTTTAGCTGGTACATTTTAGCTCGTGACAGGCTGAGAACACTAGGGCTGTTCAGCCTGGAGAAGAGAAGCTGCTGGAGACCTCAGAGCAGCTTCCATGTCTGAAGGGGGCTACAAGGATGCTGGGGAGGGACTCTGCATCAGGGACTGCAGTGATAGGACAAGGGGTGATGGGTTCAAACTGGAACAGGGGAAACTCAAGTTAGATATAAGGAAGAAGTTCTTCCCTGTGAGGGTGCTGAGGCGCTGGCACAGGGTAATGCTCCATCCCTGGCAGTGTTCAAGGCCAGACTGTACAGAGCCTTGGGTGATATGGTCTAATGCAAGGCAACCCTGCCCATGGCAGGGGTTTGGAACTAGATGATCTTAAGGTCCTTTCCAACCCTACCTATTCTGTGATTCTATGATTCTATGACATTGTCATACATATAAGCCACTTAACCTGCTAGAAAATAGTTTTTAAAGCCTGAATCCACAATGGTCTTGTGGTAACTGCCCCTGAAATTCAGCTAAAGAAAATACTATGCCTGCAAGATGAGAAACATACTACAAGATGGCCTTTAACCAGCAAAATTTGCTTCTATAGAAGACATGAGGGCTTTTAAACTGATAATTTCAGCTTGTTCATAAATTGCGGGCAGTGGGAACCAGCTGCAAAGAAGCAAGAATAATCTTTTCAAATTAGAAGGAAAAACAAGAAGAACAGATTCCATATGGGAGCACAGAAATTATCTAGGTAGTTACAAAAAGGAAACCCCATTGACATCTATTGTGGCTGAATAACAGTACTTAGCCCTCCAGCTATGATCTATATTTTCATAGGAGAGGGCAACATTCCTGTAGCCAGGCAAAAAACAAGTGGCACAAAGGTTTCAAAGGACACCATCTCTAAACTGGCACAACTTAACAGGTTGGCCAATGCCCCACAAAAGCAAGTGCTGGGCTGTAACAGATTTCTTTTCTGTGCCATCCAGAAGTAAAGTAGTCATCAAACTGAGATTTTTATATTCTCTCTTTCTTTTTCTCTCCACCTCTAAGCAGCAGGACTTAAAAGCCCAGCATGATGGTGGCTACAACCAATTTGCAATCTGATGCAATTCAAGATTCTTGTTTTCCTGCTGTTGCTAATTTTGGCACCACAGCCTCCAATCAGTATTTCCTAGATATTAATTTGATTCAGATCTAAAATTGTGCTGGGTCAAATTAGGATGGGGGGAAGCAAAGAAAAAAAAACCCCATGGTTAGCTAAGTTGTAATAACAGAGCATGGCACAGAACCCTAGTAAAATGAGTACTGCTGCCTGGTCTTTTTAGCCTAAAGCAACTAGTTTCCTGAGAAATGAACCTAAGGGAACCTGCCTTCCCAGGAATCTGTGCCTCCCTGCTGATTGGGAGCGCTGAAAGAGGTCTCTTCTGTGGCTGGGACATCCTTAAAATCTCAGAGATGTCTGAGTTCACAGACATCATTAGGGTTGGAAGGAATGTCCGGAGATCATCTAGTTCAACCCCCTGCCAAGGCAGGGCCACCCAGAGGAGGTTACACAGGAATGTGTTCAAGGTGAGTTTTGAATGTCTCCAGAGATGGAGACTCTACAACCCTTCTGGCCAGCCTGTTTCAGTGCTCTGCCACCCACAACATAAAGAAGAATCATAGAACGGTTTAGGTTGGAAAGGACCTTAAGATCACCCAGTTCCAACCCCCTGCCATGGGGAGGATACCTCATACTAGACCATGTTGCCCAAGGCTCCATCATGTTGAGGTGAAACTTCTTGTGTCTTAGTTTCTAGTCACTGCTCCTTGTGCTGTCGCTGGGCACCACTAAAAAGTCTGGCACCATCCTCCTGTCATCTGCCTTTGAGATATTTATATGCATTCATGAGATCCCCTCTCAGTCTTCTCTAGACTAAACAGGCACAGCTCCCAAAGCCTCTCCTCATAAGAGAGATGTTCCAGGCCCCTCATCATCTTTGTGTTAGGTCAGGTAGGTCTTTCTTTCACTCTTTATAGGTTCTTTCTTTTTGATCTTAAGGTCCTTTCCAACCCTAACTATTCTATGATTCTATGATTCTATTTTCACATCATAAAATATGTAGAGATGTAATTCTCCTTGAGCCCCTACCCTTTAGTCATGGGGAGGCACACAGACATGCAGACAGGGTGAAGGCATAGGCTTCTATTTTGTAGAAACCCAACCAAAACATCATCTTACCTGAGAAATGTCCATGACAGAGTCACAGCTGAGAGGCCGAGCAGACGTCAAGTCATTGGAACCCAGCACTGTGGAGATGATCCCATTCTGATCAATCCTCCTGATCATAGTGCCATCCACAAAGTAAATGAGCCCAAACTTGTCCACGGTGATGCCTGGGGAGGGCAAAAGCCAGACAGTCAGAAAGTAACAGCAACCTGACAATTATGGGGTGAATAGAAGTTGGTGTCTGGTTTGACGCTCATGAAAGAATGAGGTTGGGAGCAATATATTTTATGGCATTTGAAAGGGATGAGATAAAAGTTGGACATTGGTAACTCCTGGTTATCAGAGGCTTTGTCCTGGCACCATTCATGGAAGGCACTTCTAACTGGCACATGAGGCCGTATAGAATTCCCTGCTCACTTATGGAAAAGGACATGGCATTTGATGAACCACTGAAAAGAGAAAGCTTTCTAACAGCTACACGTCTTGCATGTTCAGAAACATGGTGTTACTGCTCATGGTATGAATACTAAGCCATGCACATGAACATGTGACACTGGTGAACCTTTCAGAAATGGAGATGAGAAAGGCTGTGAAAGATCCATCAGGTCAATCAAATTCCAGGTGGATAAACATGGAAGGGTTTTTCCTAGGATAATCCTATTAATCTGTAGTATTTCACCTGTTTCTGAACTCTCCTAGGTGATTCAGCCCATTGTCCAAACCTCCTTCGTAGACATACTCCTGTCAGTGGGCTTGAGGTCTGCTGACAGCAGTTACAGACTGCTGATTCTTGTTTACTCACCTGCAGACCTGTGTCATTTCACTTCCCCCTAAGCATCATTTCTCAAGTGCTTATGTTAGCACAACCTCCCTTAATCCTCTTTATCCCAGGCTAGCTATACTCCACATCTTCCATCAGATGACTTCATAGGGCTTTACACTTACTAATTAGACCTCACAGCAGTGTGTGAGTGTGATCATCCTAATTTTATGTATCAGGAAAATAACAGATAAAGCCATTCTCACAAGGTCACAGAGAAAGTCCATGGGTAAGGAAGGAATAAAAAGTTAAGGGCCCCATTCACCTCTCTTTATGCTAGTATAAATTTAAAGTAACTCCACAGATACTAATAGAGTCATCCATCTCATCTACCCTACGGTGGCAGAATTCTGCTCAGTGTAATATTTGAGGGTCTTAAAGGCATTAAAAGAACTTAAAGGAACAATGAAAGAATGTAGAAGCCTATAACACCCTTTTCTGTGCAAGCAAAAATTCTGCTTGGGATATATGAATACTGGCATCTTCCTGTTTGGTTTCTTTGGCTAGCAGGGTAGCAACCACTTGGCAAAAAACAGACATCTGCATTGTGCATCCTAGCAAGCACCTGGAGCTTTTCCAATCAGTGGAGAGCAAGACCTACTTCTAGGGTGCAATTCATATCACCCTACAGCAGATATCCAGAAGAGATTATATGAACCCTGCCAGAAACACCTTTTCCTCCCCACCGACTATAAAAGCAGAGTACAGCAAATATCACCAAAGGAAACATTTATACTGCAGAAAGATGAAATTAGTGAGATGAATCCTCACTCTAATGTTTTTTTGGCTGTCATCACAGTGACAGAAATGATGGGAAATCTGTTTCAGACAGAAAGCTTTGAGACTCTTCCTGAGAAGCGATGAGACTTTGTGTTTCTCCAAAATGCTGTTTTACAGCCAGATCCCCTTGTTTGAAACATTTACCCTCAGTCTCCATCCACTGTGAGCTCTGCTGTGAAGTACAGATGCAGCAGTTCACAGATCAAATATTTCAGAGTTACATGTGGCAGGGACTAATCCCCTGATTGCTTTGGCAATTAAAATCATGGCCTTCAGCCAGCACTGTAACTATTGCATGGGCTGGAAGCTACGGAGGTGGATGATATGTACAAAAACATATCACATTTGGTCACACAGAAAGCCACAGAAGACAATCTAGCCTGGAAGTAATGGCAGGAAAACCTTAGGACTAGGTCATTGTTTGAGAGAAAGAACTTCCCATTGAGCTGAGGTACAGGAAGGGATTCAGCCATGGTTGCAACCTCTGGATTCAAAGTCAATTAGGAGTCAGGAAACGGATGTTTCAGATCACTGAGTTGAACGGGAGCTGTGTATTTTATGCTAGGAGGTAAAACCAGCATTTTCCTTAGTTCTTCACAGCATCTCCCTGTCTGAAGGGCATCATTTTGGCCTGGATTGGATATTGGACCATCAAAGCAATGAGGTTTCAGAATAGCCTCTAGGGCAGTGAGGAAAATTACTTGCTGCTTTTAAGATGAAGTTCATTAATTTTGGAAGGGATTACATGGCAGAATTGCTGAGATAATGGATGACAGGACTAAATGACCCAAAAGATTGCTTCTAGTCCTACATCCCAATACTTGTGTTTAATCCATGCTGAGATAGGACTGATTTTTGCAGGACCATGAAACAAGAACCTGGAAGAGGAGCAGAAGGTACCTGTTACACATCTGATTGCTAGGAGAGCACTGGTGGAACACCACAGCACTGGTGGCCATTTATTCTCGCTGTACGAAATAAACACATCAGTTGCATCTTAGCACTTTGTCTAAAGCTTGCAGAGGGATCTGGTGGTACAGGCATCAATATCTCTCTGGTATCCATGGCTTTCTGCAGATTGTCTTCACCTGCCATGAGATCTGGCAGCACCGTGCCCCAGTTAGTGCCCTGTTCAACGAGCCATCCAGGATACTGGCACGTCTCCTGTCACTGGTGTCTGCTGTTGAAGCTTACTGCTCCTCTAATTGAATGGCAGGTTCTTCAATGTTTGCAGGTATTTGCTTGACAGCCAGGAATGCAATGGAGCTCTTTAAGCAATATGGTAGATGTGGTTTTTCAGAAGAGGCGTGATAGAAGGTTTAGTTGATCTTAATTGGCTTTTGTCAAGCACAAGAAGCGCTCACCCATTCCTGGGCTCACAACGAGCAGTTTTCAGGGCGCCTGTCCGTTAGTCTGTGTGACAGGCCAAAAGCCAGTGAAGGGTGGCAGGCTGGATAATGTGATTTTAAATGAGGCAGAATTTTCTCTCTTAGCTAGTTCCATACGTATTGGATTGGACTTATCAGCAGTGTGTGCTGACAGTCGATCAGGGTGTTCAGTGCTGGGGTCTGATGGCTGGTCTGATTAACCAGTTACAGTAATAACAACCCGTATGTACTTTGGCTCTCGAGCCAGCTCTGATCAGTTGATAGAGCACAACTTTAGTTTGCATTCCATTAGACAAAGAGCTTGCACACCCGAGGAAGTTAAAGGGGGACAGCAAAGTTACCACTTATCATCTACCCCAGGGCAACCGCATGTGCATGTGTTCTTATCACAGAGCACTTCTCTGCTTATCCCTCTTTCACGGAAGCTAAGCAATCTCAATTGCCTTGCATTTCCTAAGATGTTCTGCAAGGTAACAGCATTTGCACTCTGTCAAAGCCCCAAATTCCCATTTGCACATGCTCCTCACATGGCAACTGCTCCAGTCCCTTCCTGACTTTAGCTGATTGCCTTGGAATCAAACCTAATTATGGAGAAGGAGCCCTGCTCTCCCACAGACAAGTGTCTTTGGATGGATGACTTCCACCGGGCGGGAAAGGAGCATCTCACAGCTTCTTTGCAGCAGATTGTAGAGGTTAGATTGGATGTTTCTGTGTTTCCTCCCTGAAAATGGCACAGTTCCAGCACTGGGAGCTGGCTCCTGCAAATGGGCACAGAAACGGGTAATTCACGTTACTCACATAAAGCCAAAGGCCTTGGCTTGCTTTGGCAGAAGGTTCCTCTCATGTTTCCATAGGAACATAAGGGAATTAAAGGTTTTCAGCACATAGCTCTTAGTTTGATCTCACAGTTACTGAGAGAAAACATCTGCTGCCACTACCCAGGTAGCGTTGCAGATTCAAACTTTAAGCTCTGAGATGTGAAATGCACACGTTCTGAGATCAGGCTGCCTCCTCTTGGAGAGTCGGAAATCCCATAAGGAACAAGGGCTTGTAGCAGAGCGTGCATCACACCAGTGAGTTGTGCTGATAGGAAGTTGTGACGTGATGACATTTGCTTGAAATGTCAGGACCTTGCAGTGTGAGGAGGTGACAGCACAACGTCACGCTGCAAATAACTACTGGGACACAGTGGGTTTGTTCTGGAAGATGAACTGCAGAAAGAGATGGCATTTGCCTTGTAGCTCTACTTAGACTTCGCTTAAAAACCCTTTTAAGTAAAAAAATACCTGCTAAAGGAATCCATATTTGGAGCTTTCCTTTCTTGTCTGGCTGGATGCTGAATGACTGAGTGATAAAATGGCAGCTGAAAATCAATGTCAATAAGTACAGAGGAATTCGCAGGGGAAAGAGGAAGCCTAACTACTCATATGCAATGACAAGCTGTAAAACAGCTCCCAGGAAAAGATTTCAGAATTCCTATGAAAAGTTCTCTGCAAAGATCAGCTTTGTACTCTGCAGCGGTCAAGGAGGCAGCTAGAAGACAGCAGTGGATGAGGGAAGGCACAGAGAGAACAGAAAACGGTGTTCTGGCCTCAAAAAGACCATCCTTTTGCATGCTGTAGCTGAACAACTTGTGGAAATTATTAGCACGGGATGCCTGGAGGAACAAAATTAGGTGTTCAGGGAGGTTTCCAGCCCAAATGATGGTGGCATCTAAGCACAGAGGTGCAACCTCCTCAGAAAGTCCCCTAAATGTCAATGACTAGAACCTGGAGAGTGAGCAGGGAGAGACCACTCTATCATTGCTTCTTTCTCTATGTGTCTTTTCTGCCCATGGTGAAAGACAAGACGTTTTGTTCTATCAGCCTCTGGTCTTCCCAGACATTATTATTTGACAATAAAAACATTAGCAGCTTGTGGAGGTGGAGTTTCTTCTTCTAATCCTGTCGAACTCAGGAACACTTAGTGAACAACTGAGATTCT